CGATTCTCCCGAGTTAGTGGAGTATATTGGAATGAAGAATTTGATTAATGCTGTTAAAGATGGGGTTGGACTTGAGAGTGGGAAGCTTATTTTTGGTGTTGGAGGTAAGTTTAGAGTCAAGTAACTTGATTAGGCTTATAACTCGACATGGATACTTTTATAAAAATTAACCAATGTACTTGTATAGATAATACATTTAAAGATCTACCTTGGGGAGCTTTGGATGATGTTGTAATGGGAGGTGTCAGTGAAAGTAACTTCATAGTTGATCTAACTAGCGGTGAAAACGGTGGACCTACAGGCATTTTCAAAGGTTTGATAATATAAACAACAACAACAACTCTATTTGCTGTTTTATTTCTCTTACTGACATAAACATAATATGTTGCTTAGGAAATGTTTCAACCACAAATAATGGCGGATTCACTAGTGTTAGAACCAAGGTAACTAGTGTCAGAATCACTTACTGAAAGCATATGAGTCATGTGTCTTAACAAAATTTGGACAGAACTTTGCCGAGGCAGAGGATCTCTCTGCATATGATGGTTTGGAGTTGAGGCTAAAAGGAGATGGACTCCGTTACAAACTTATTGTCCGGACAAGCCAAGATTGGGACACTGTTGGTTACACTGCTAGTTTCGACACTTCACCAGGCCAATGGCAATCTGTAAGTAAAAACTACTTTTTCTTGATTTGCTTTTTGTCGTGTATCAGTAACAACAATGTTATGTGTTTTTTTAAAATCGTAGGTACGCTTACCATTCTCGTCTTTAAGACCAGTGTTTCGTGCAAGAACAAAGTCAGATGCACCTCCTTTTAATCCAGCTAGTATCATTTCACTACAGGTTTGTTTGTCTTTGTGTTAGGATAAGTTAGTTACTTGGTGAATGACTGTTAGTTTAATGCATTCTTATTTTCAGCTTATGTTTAGCAAATTTGAGTATGACGGCAAGCTTAACCCCACTTTCAAAGAAGGACCGTTCGAGCTTCCTCTGTCGAGCATTCGAGCATACATTCAAGAGCCTCTAACTCCAAGGTCCGGTTTAGTTTCTTGCTCTTTATAATAAAAACTCTTCACTCTAACTCTGAAGTGAAACTGTGTTACTTACTGTTACAGGTTTGTTCATGTTGGCTCTGCGGGAGTAACCCGACCAGAGAGACCTGGTTTGGATCTAAGCAAACAACCACCAGCCGTTAGATTAAACAAGGAGCTTGATTTCATTCTCACTTACAAGCTAAAGGTTTTTCACTCATTTTCTATACTCTCTTGAGAAACTCATTTCTCACAAGAGTTTTAAAACTCTCTTTTTCTGTGAACAGGGAGAGGATCTGATACGTGAAAGTGGGATACCATATGCAATAGTACGGCCATGTGCTTTAACAGAAGAGCCTGCAGGAGCTGATCTCATTTTCGATCAAGGAGACAACATTACGGTATTTCATTTTATTTTTTTTGCTAACATAACTCCTTCTTTAACCTTAAACATAACCACCAACCTTTGGCTTTGTTATATAGGGGAAGGTCTCGAGAGACGAGGTAGCACGTATATGCATCGCTGCTTTAGAAAGCCCGCATGCTCTAAACAAGACATTCGAGGTTAGTTTTTAATGTTTTGGATTTTACTTCTTCAAGAAGATGTTTAATGTCTCATTTGAGCTTTTATCTTTGTGTGTTTGTTTTGTTTTTGCAGGTTAAAAGCACGGTTCCGTTTAGCGAACCATTCACAGTAGATCCTGAGAATCCTCCACCAGAGAAAGACTACAATGAGTATTTCAAGAATCTGAAAGATGGGATCACTGGCAAAGAAGCTTTGGAAGAGAGCACTGTTTCTGTTTAAAAAAACCAGGTTTCATTCTATTTTTTTTGGTTTGTCCTGTCTGAACTCTTTTTTCTTTGAAAAGTACAAAATGAAATAAAGATTGTATATTTCATATATATTCGGCTTCTTACATTGAAGAGTAGATTATACAAAGATTATTCAACGACAACAATAAAGTTTAAACCTTTTGATTGCCGTGCAGTACTGCACCTTGTTCAACAGTCTGAAATGGAATTTTTGCATCAGGAGTTTCCAAAATATATATGATTATTTCTTTAGCAACTTGGAGTTTCATATCAAACACATAAAAGAGAAAATGGAAAATCACTATCTCTCTATGCTCCAACTAGTCTATTTCCAAGTCTTGCATAAAAGCTCTCAGTCTCACTCTCTTAAAGTTCTCGAGTTCTCAGAATAAAGATACATTAGACACAAATATTTACTGTGTGTCAAGAAACTATTAGTGACCGATCGACCACCAACAAGATGATACTTAAAAGTCATTTGTTGTATGTCATTTTAATTTTAAATCGTTTAAGTATTTAAGGACTTGCACACAGTTGTTGTGATAAATAACACAACAGAAAGAGAACAGACTTTTGATCAGTAAGTAGATCAAAAAGTATAATCTACCTCTTTGGGAACTTTGGATGATGTTGTAATGGGAGGTGTTATTGAAAGTAACGTCATAGTAGATCTAATCGGCGGTGACAACATAACAATTCTATTAGCAGTTTTATTTCTCTCTGATTGTTACTTACATAAACATAATATGTACTTTAGGAAATGTTTCAAAACGACAAATAACAGCGGATCCACTAGTGTTAGAACCAAGGTAAAGGGTATAGCATTAATGTCATCGCACAAAAGAACTTGATTCCACAAGCTCTCTGGATAAGGATGGATTGATGGCACCACATAGACTATGGCAGGATCTCTGCTACTGCTGAGAACTTGGCTCTACGTGAATCACACAAAACGAGAGAAGTTGATCTACGGGAAAAACTGACTCATATATTCATTGAGTCTCATCCCATTCCGGACCGCAACGAAATTTTCTTCAAGCGGATCACAGCGAATCAGGTCTGCGCGAATTGCGGTCTCCAAAATAGCTGTACAAACCCGTCGTACTATATGTATAAGTTTTTACGGATCGGTTTGCGGGACATAATAATACATGCAACAAAATGCTTCAGGTCCTTCCAAAATGTTCCAGACCACTCTGGGACATGATTCAAATCGTTGATTCAACTGAAAATGATTCATTATTCTTTCATTTGCTTGTTTTTTTATTCAAAACAATAGTTGTAGTTATTTTTGTCACACCTTTAACATACCAAGTAAAAATAATTGCATAAGATATTTATTAGCTTATAATTCATAAGTGCATGACAAATACTTTAGTTTGTTGAATTCAAATACTAAATAAAACTAAACATCAAATCAAAACTGTCAATCCCAAATTAAATAAGTGAGAGAACCAAAAACACCACCAGAACTAAAATCGCCAAAGTTCGAATCATCATCACCGAAGCCCGACTCATCATCGTCAGAATCCTTTACGTTTTTTCGGGGGAAGTCACATGAATGGCCTTCTTCTCATTCTTTCTCTTTTTTTTCTAGGTAAAACAAAAATGAAGAAAAAATACTCATTTCGGCTCATCCCGCAGAAGACCCAATCCCATAAAGATCTGTCTCGCGAAATCCATAAATTTACGGGCCTAAATCCCAATACCGTTCTGCGATAGCCTTTTACGGCACAGGTCCATGATTATCATCTCTAGTAAAAAGTTGTGTTTTTTTTTTGGACAAAAAAAAGATGTGTTCTTAAAATTGCAAAATTTAAAGATAAGATATGAGATTTTGATTGAGTATTTTACACATGGAAAGTTATCCAATTTCATTTACTCTCATTCAATTCAAATGGAGTGTGAGGATCTACCAAACATGAATAACACAAGATTTTAAAGGTTGTATCAAATATTCAGTTGAATAACAATGAAAATTTAATTCCTCTAATGGAGAAATTATAAATACAATAACAAATATTATTAGATTTCAAAATCTTATAATAAGAATATTTTAAATACAATAATCAATGACACTATATTTTAATAAATTATGTTAAACTCAATCATTAAATAACACTAGATCCAAAGAGTTCACTTTAAATTCACTACCTAATAGCACCCATCTAGATTTTTTTTTTTTTAAATCTAGTTTTGCCCCAAAAAGATAGTTTGCCTGCCCTATCGCTTATAAATAAATCACTTCTGCTTGTTGAAAAATAAAACCATAATTTGATAGTTATTTTTTGGGTTAACCAGAAGATGACTACTATGATATCCGATTTACCCTATGATTTGGAATCTGAAATACTCGCTAGGGTTTCATCCATGTCTCTAGCAAAACTAAAAACTACTTGCAAACGATGGTACGCTTTGTTCAAAGATCCAAATTTCGTCAAGAAGAAGAACAACTTGTGTAAAACATCGAAAGAGGTGATGCTACTTATACACCATAGGGTTTATTCAATTAACGTCAACAGAATCCACAACAGCGTCGATGCATCCATTGAGTTTACAGGTAAACTTACCAATCTTAAAGACTCAAAAGAGGTAGAGTTATGTCTTATCTGGCACTGCAACGGATTGATATTATGCTACACGAAGGATAACAACAGTATTGTGGTTTGGAACCCCTGTACTCGTGAAACCAGGTGTATCAAACCCAGGAGTTTTTACCGGTGGAATAATTGTTTTGCTTTTGGATGTGGAAACAACGAATCTTCTTGCCCCAGCTACAAAATTTTGAAGTTTAGCAATTATGATTGCAAAAACAGGGAGCAATATATTAATGATTGTGAGATTTATGACTTCAGCTCTGATTCATGGAGGGTTCTTGATGGTGTCACTGATAAATGGAGGATACTTCTTGATGACAATGTTGTGTCGTTAAAAGGAAATGCTTACTGGATTTATTTCGATAGCGAAGCTCGCCATAAAATCCTACTCAGTTTTAATTTCACAACGGAGGTATTTGAGTCTTTGCCTCTTCCGGATCAGAGTGAAAATGAACCTTTGATTATATCGGTTGTTAGAGAAGAACAGCTCGCGGTGTTACATCACAATATTGAAACATCCTTGGCTGAGATAACTGTATGGCTGAGCAATAAGATCGATGAAGGCAAAGAGGTGTCTTGGAGCAAATTCTTAGTAGTGAATTTTGATACATCTAGGTTACCACCTTACCCGAAAGCGATGACTTCTTGGTTGGACAAGGAAAATAAAGTGGTTGTCTCTTGTATTAGAGACGGAGATGATCGTGATTACGTTTACATTCTAGGAGGAGAACGTTTGCATAGACAAGTTCATGGTGAATCTTGGATTAGGCCATTGCTCCTGAGTTATGTTCCAAGTTTGAGTCACATCCCCAAGGCAAAAAGAGAAGAAGATACCTTGAGATGGATAATTAAGATAGCTTTTGTCGTCCCTTGCTTTTTTTTTTTTTTTTTTTTTTTTTAA